TTTTTTAAACCGGCCCTATCCATGCAATAACACGATTAAAGGCCGGTTTAGACGGTACGATTTTCGCCTACAACTATCGTATACAACACGCTCGCGCCATCCTACAACTCGAGTCGTAGCGTGTACATCAAGCCTACAACTCGCCTACGACAGGCGCCAGCGTGTTGTATACGATAGTTGTAGGCGAAAATCGTACCGTCTAAATCGGCCTTAAGAAATGGCAAGCGATTCCAAAGGACGTTTTAATTTGTATCTTATATGGGACACTGCACCCTCCCCCTTCCCCTACAACGCTCAAAAAGACCCAAAATGATGGTCACCCTGTGGTTTACGTGRTGTATTCTGGGTAATCCATCCCGATCCCAGTCTTCGAGGAGTTTTCAAGGAGAAGGAAGATTTACTTTTGGTACCGGTTCCACGTTTGTGCAGAGAAGTTCATCTTCTGTCCTCAAAAAAATCCCTTCAGAAATAACCTATCAACGAAACTACGACTCAGAGGTAAGCATTGCTAACTGCTACTGCTATTTATCGTGGAAATATAGCAAAGAAAGCTGTATTTTGGGTTCCCAGCACGACTTTTCACGCTTGCTTTTAGACCTGATCTGGGAAGGTGTTGACAATTATTGAGGTAAATAAAATGGGCGAGGGAAAAAAATTCGCTTGTTTTTATAGCGTTTAAATCCTCAAGAACCTCTTATGAACTAATATAAATCGTAATTTTGTATATAAATATAATAACATCTTTAAATAAATGTAGTTTATTTGAAATATTGTGAAGAAATACGAAACGTGATTGTACTTTCGTACAAAGCTTATTGTACATGTGTTTCTAAAAATATTTTTTGCACAACGATTGCAGAAAAAATATATTGCCTCGCCTTAATGTATATTTAATTTCTTGTTTAAAAGACAAGTCATAGATCTCCTATTTCGTATTGAGTACACTATTATTTCTTATTCATTGTAGAGAATTAATTTGTATATTTTATAGGGTGGACGCATAATATTAACCCATGAAGATTACTAACGTCTTTGTGCCAAATGGTTTAAATAATAGAAAACAAAAGATTTTGTATTACTTAATGCTATGATTTTTTACTTCTAACAGGTTTCTTGTTTGTAATGTAATTTAGAAAAGCTTTTCTTAACTGTTTTTAGTCTTCAATGTAAAACTTGAATAAAGATTATTTWAAAAAATGTTGCCGTATCAAGTATTTCAGACATAAAAAACTGCTTTTTTTAATGCTTGCTGCAGTAATGTAGTATGCACTTTGTGCTGTGGAATTGCTGAAGGCCTTAAAAAATTTTTTGTAAGCTTCAAGAAAGGCAAAGCGTAGCAATGTGCTAATGCTTTGAACACTACATACACATTTTGTGACTCAGTATCACTAGCTATATATATATATATATATATGCTATTTAATGGTGAGGAGGTTCGAATAGGGAAAAACTGTGATAGAGGTCTTGAATATACAGGCTGAGGCCGTTAGGGCGGTCTGTTTTCAAGATTGAGGGGACAGGTTTTCTTATACAGACCAACCAACAAAGAGTCTAGACAGTTTGTAAACAGAAAGATATCTGGACGTATTTTCTTTAGACAGTTTACTTGGCATATTGACATGTACCTTGAATATGTCATTCGATAGGGTTCATTATATGATATGGTATAGGACATTTGCATTATGGCATCATTAACTATGACTACCAGAATCTTGCACACAAATTCTTTTTTTTGGGGGGGGTGGTAGGATCAGGTTACAATCTGTTGCAAAAATTGTCTATTAATATTTCGATGAGGAAATACTTATTTGAATAAGAAAGAAAATTAGGAAATACTTATTTGAATAAGAAAGAAAATTTCCAAAGCATTTTGTGGTAATCAAATAACTAACCATCGTGCAAACAGCCTATTGTCAAGGCAATTGTTTTCATCACCATCATCATCATTTATCATCATCATTGTCATCATGATCATTATTAATGTTTTACTTAGAAGTAATTTATCATCATCATTATTATATGAATATCTTACCATAATCACTATTACCACCATCATCATTGTCATCATCATTGTCATCATCATTTTCATCATCGTCACCATCATCGTCATTGTCATCATCATTGCCATCATCATTGTCATCATCATTTTCATCATCGTCATCATCGTCATTGTCATCATCATTGCCATCATTTTCATCATCGTCATCATCATCGTCATTGTCATCATCATTGCCATCATCATGGTCATCATCATTGTCATCATCATCATCATCATAATTGTCGTCATTATTGTCATCATTATTGTCATCATCATCATCATCATCATCATCATTAATGTTATGATTATTTTCATAGATAAAAGATGTCGGCCAAGGGAGCTAGAGATGAGTACGTTCATTATGTTGAGGAACGTCATAAGCATTGGATGGGTTCCCGTGCTTCTTCATATCTGGAGTATCTTTGTGAGTTAGACATCGATAAGCAACCTGTTACTATTCGGAACTCTGGCTTGATTTGCACTATTGGTGAGTCCTTACGTTAGTACAGTTACAAACATCTTGTAACATGGTGCATAAGTTTTCTTCTTATTCACTTGTTGTGTTCAACACGCCAACACAGTCTACACACACTAGTCCTTCTAATGAATAAATACAAATTGGGGACATTTTTACTGTCACTACATTCAATGTTCTTTGCACACAACGCTTAAGGTATTAGGATACGTTTACAACCACTATGCGCGCAAACTTAAAT